TATGACAGTCAACCAAAAAAAAAAAAGCATGAGGCCAAACAAAACAGATCGGCATCGGTTCGGTCGGTCGGACAAAGTTTTTTTTTTTTTAATCTTTTTTTTTCCCATCAAAAATTTAAACAAAATAACCATAAAACAAGAAGACATTGAACCCGCCGCTCCCGCCGATTTAGTTTTCTCCCGGCTCCGGACTCGGGGGGACCGGGGCGCGCCGCCGCCTCCGCTGTCCTCCTTCGCCCTCGGTTTTTACTCGGCCCATGGTGTTCATCAAATAGTTCGCTTTATTTTTTTCGATACATCAATGGATGCTATTTTCTTTACATTACGGTGTGAGCACGCGACTGTAACACAAAAAACTCAGTTTAAACTGTCGTCGGAGATCGCGGCCGCCGCCATGTTTCACTGCGGTCAAAGCATCCACTCGCAAAATTGAAGTCAAGTGAGCCGCCACTGCGATTGTCAGTGCTCTGCATTACGGTAATCTGCCGCCAGCGAGTGGCGTTAGCCACCTTCAAAATAAAAGCACCTCCACTAATGCATAAACGTAATTTGTGTGGGTGAAAAGAAATTAATAAAAATATAAAATAAGTACTTTCTTGGCTGTTGGGTAATGATTCACAGAGGAAGAACAAGAACTCTCAGAACAGCACTAACAAGCGTTCTCAAGTGGAGATAGAAAATAAAGTCAACGATAATTGTACATCAATTTCACTTCATATTAAAAAAAAAAAAATAATTAAAACAATCAATCTGGGTGATTGCGCAACCACACCAGGTTGTTGACACACTAGGGCACGCCAGGTATACAACCACAGTACTGGCATTCAGATCGAATGTTCCATCACCAATTAAAATGCCTCTCAAATATGACATTTTGAGCTCCTCTCCTTATTTCAAAAGATTCTTAAAAATGAATTTCAGTTATCCCTCAATCAAACCAGGCGTGTGGGACACGAGAGCACTCCAGGTATCCAACCAGACCACCCTCATTCCGATCTGATGTCGGCCTCTGAAAAGTGACAAGATGGCCTGCGTTCTGACATGACCTGCATTCTAACATGTTGATCTTTTCGCCCATTTTTAGAACATCCTAAAAGAAGGAATCCAGCACCCCGGGTCTTCACCCAGACCACTCTCGTCCGGATCCGATGTTGCATTTTGAAATAAAAGGCCTCTGAAAACTGGCATGTTGACCTGATTTCTGACAAGTTGGCCTGTAGGTCTGGGGGTAACTACAGCCCCCCTGCTATCCAACCCGACCACTCTGGTACGAATCCGATGTTGCATTTGGGAATAAAACGCCCCTGAAATGGGAAAATAGGACCTTGTTCCCGAAAAGTTGGACTGAACGCCTAACATGTGGACATTTGAAACCGTTTTTAAAAATTTATTAGAAAATAAACCTTCGTTATCCCGTGAGGGCTGTAGGTCCGGGGGTAACTACAGCCCCCCGGCTATCCAACCCGATCCCTCTGGTCCGAATCCGATGTTGCATTTGGGAATAAAAGGCCTCCGAAAAGGGAAAATATGCCCTTATTCCCGAAAAGTTGATTTGAACGCCCAACACTTTGACATTTTCGACCGTTTTTAAAAAAATATTAAAAAAAAAAACCCTTCGTTATCCCGTGAGGGCCGTAGGTCTGGGGGTAACTACAGCCCCTCCGCTATCCAACCCGACTACTCTGGTACGGATCCGATGTTGCATTTGGGAATAAAAGGCCTCCAAATAGGGAAAATATGCCCTTATTCCTGAAAAGTTGATTTGAACAACCAACACTTTGACATTTTCGACCGTTTTTAAAAAATTATTTAAAAAAAAAACCCTTCGTTATCCCGTGAGGGCCGTAGGTCTGGGGGTAACTAAAGCCCCTCGGTTATCCAACCCGACCACTCTGGTACGGATCCGATGTTGCATTTGGGAATAAAAGGCCTCCAAATAGGGAAAATATGCCCTTATTCCCGAAAAGTTGGCCTGAACGCCCAACATGTTGACATTTTCGACCGTTTTTAAAAAAATATTAAAAAATAAACCTTAGTTATCCCGTGAGGGCTGTAGGTCTGGGGGTAACTAGAGCCCCCCGGCTATCCAACCCAACCACTCTGGTCAAAATCCGATGTTGCATTTGGGAATAAAAGGCCTCTGAAAAGGGAAAATGTGACCTGATAATAATAAGGGAAATAATGAGCTTATAATAATAAGGGCATATTTTCCAATTTTAGAGGCCTTTTATTCCCAAATACAACATCGGATTTGGACCAGAGTGGTCGGGTTGGATACCGGGAGTGCTGTAAGTATCCCTTGACCTACAGCCCTCACGGGATAACGAAGGTTTACTTTTTAAGAATTTTTTCAAAACGGTTTAAAATGTCACCATGTTAAGCGTTAAGATAAACTTTTCGGGAATAAGGGCATATTTTCCATTTCAGGGGCGTTTTATTCCCAAATGCAACACCGGATTTGGACCAGAGTGGTCGGGTTGGATAGCCGGGGGGCTCGAGTTATACCCTGACCTACAGCCCTCACGGGATAACGAAGGTTTACTTTTTAAGAATTTTTTCAAAACGATCGAAAATGTTAACATTTTTGCCGTTCAGGCCAACTTTTCGGGAATAAGGTCTTATTTCCCCTTTTCGGAGGCCTTTTATTCCCAAATGCAACATCGGATTTGAACGAGAGTGGTCGGGTTGGATAGCCGGAGGGCTCTAGTTACCCCCAGACCTACAGCCCTCACGGGATAACGAAGGTTTATTTTTTAATATTTTTTTAAAAACGGTTTAAAATGTCCACATGTTAGGCATTCATATCAACTTTTCGGGAATAAGGGC